TGTCTATTAAGCCTTCTGACAACTGTATAATGCCTTTTCAATGAGGAGTATGGCCCATATGAACAAAAAGACTTAAGCACCTGAATTCCATCTACATTCCACGAACATGGAGGAGTTTGAAAATCTCATTTCACTACGAGCTAGTCCACATCAAAAAGTACAAGACCATTCTGTGTGACCATCAGAATTGACTGCTACCATATCAACTGAACTGACTCATGTCTTAGACAGGTGTGTTGCGTTTAAAGAGGCCACAATCTACTCATTCAAGCATCCATGAATTCTCAAACACTACAAGTTTTACCAGAGATCAGAACTCCGATCAAGACAGAAGCAGACAGTGCAGAAATCTGGTATCAATTCCTTAAAGGATGCCCATCTGATGGAAGTATGAGTTGGCATAGGGAGAGACCTAGTTCAGAAAGAATCAATCAATTGCTAAAGAGCTGTTTCTTTCAGGAGTTCAGAAGGAAGGGGCTTAATGATGCATGACTAAGAAAGGGCCTTATGTTACAGAAGGCTTTGTAACAAAACACTCTGGTGCTTGTGATGCAGATGTCAAAGCTAAAGAGCTCATGACTTTCACAGGCAAAGAAGAGGCTGTAAGTCAAGGACTCCCTGGCTAGGGACATCACACATAAACTGGTTTAAGTGATCAGAAACTGTTATAAATGTGTAACAGAACAGATGTTCAGTGCACATAAACCAGTTTGAAAATGGCTGAAATCAGTTTGAGATAAACCTGGTTGAATGTAGTATCAGACTTAACTGATTTGTGTCAAACTGGATTATGCAATGGCTGTCCCAGACCCTTTGCTGGTTTAAGCTAAATCAGACACCCCCAGCATCCCGGCATGCATTCTGGGCTGGGCAGGGCTCTCTGCTCCACAGCAGGGCTGGCTCCCTGGCTGCAGCTCTGGCAGACACTTGCAGGCACAGTAGCATTTGCCTGGCTTCCTTGTGCCCTACCCCACCCACCCCTCACCACTTGCTGTTTAAGCAGAGATCCCTTCCTTCTCTCTCCCACAGCACAGACTGTAGCCAGCATGTGGTATGCTAGCTAATGCTGTGTAAGGCAGATAGGACAGTGTCCATCTAGGGCTTTTTGGAGGTAACCAACAGCTCAGATGTTAATGTCTCTGCATTCCTTCCTTCGGAAAAAGCTGTTTAACAAGAGCTTGTAATAAGCAAGGCCTTGTTTTCTAATGGGGTGTTAAATGCTGATAGCAGAGCTGATAAATGCTCTGTTATCAAGGGGGGGAACCCCTCCCTAACCACAGTGTCCTATGCAGGCCTGGGCACGCTCCCCTCAGCTCAGCCCTGTAGAAGCGAAGGGAGGGCTGCTCCAGCACCCTCAGCTTCTAGCCGGAGCCACTGCAGGCATGTGCCTGCATTTCTGGGATGTCTGTCTGGTTACAAAACTGATTTAGCCTAGCCACATTAGAATAACCTGCAAAGATTTAATCAATTGAGGCTCATGCTTTTTTTAATGTCTACCCCTAGCCCCAAAGACTATACTGCTGCGACAATCATGGAAATGTGTCATCATCACTTGTGATTTCCCCTATGTGAGGAGGCAAATGCTCTCCTCCTCCAGCCAGCACCCTGTGCCTGCCCTAGGTACCTTCAGAGACTGCTGCTGCAGCTGCTGTCTTTCCCCACCCTTCCCCACCCCCAGTCAGCCCCTATGCCACCCCCACCACCCAGCTCCTAGCCCTGTGCTCTGGTACGAGTGGGCAGGTGCACAAATGGAGTCTCATTTTGAAGCCCAGCTCATTTCCTCTACTCCTCCCATGCTCCCAGGGCTGGCAAAAGGAACTGTGGGGGTGGTTGCTGATGTGTGAGACCTTGCAGAAGCAGCTTCAGCAGCAAGAGTTGCCCTTGTCGCCTGAGGTACACAAAATGAAAAGAACAGGGCACAGAAGGGTGAAGTCCTACCCCTCTTGCTTTTCTGTGGCACCAGTTCAATCACTGATTCTCAGCCTGTTTAGCCTCCAGGCCCTGCCCACCCTGCCACCCCCCTATCTTTTCTGAATTCAGATCTAGCTCAGTGATTTTCAGTAGGGGTGCCATGACATTCAGAAAAGTTAAGTCTTTTTTTGTTTTCTTAACAGTATATCTCAGCACTGGTATGATTTCATCTGGCAGGGGAATGGAATATGGTATAGGTTTGGGGGAAAAAAGAAGTGTGTGCGCGCACATGTATGTAAATAAGTAAGACTGAAGTGTACTAACAATTTTAATCCAGAAAAAAAAGTGTGCCTGAGGTATCAAAAGTCTGGGAAACACTGTTGTAAGTATTGCACTGTTTTGACATAGCTATCTTACAAGACTAGAGGCCAATGAGTGGACATTCTGTGTCTTTGTAGTGCTGAGCCTTAAACTATGCATCAACAGATGTTTCTGAGCTACACAGAGGTTGTTTGTCTGCTTTTCACAACACTTTTCACCCAGGAAGTTTCCTAATTAAGCAATTATTTTCATTCTACCCCAAGTAAAGGGAAAAACAACATTTAAAAAGCCGATTGTGCCAAATTAGTAACAAGCTGTTTATATACCACATGGGAGCAATTCCTTGGAGATTATTCAAATAGCTGCCCATGCTTCCTGCCTTCCCTGCTTCCTGCACTATTTGCCTATGCAAGGGAACACAAGTAACATTTGGGCAGTACTCTGTCACAGCTTTCTACCTCTGTGTAGAGGTGAAGGTCCTTTGCCTCAGTTACATGCTGTGAGCTGTCAGTGGTATGTCAGATGTGCTTGTATAGATCTGCTCAGGCTTTGAAGACAGAATAATCATTGGAATCTTTCTAAACAAACTGTCATTGTAGATTAGCCTGAGTCGGCAGAAGCATCAGTCTGCAGTTGCACCCACAGGGTCATACAGGATGTAAAATCGGTATAAATGTAATCCAGGGGTGGAAAATTAAAATGGATTCAATACTAAATCCTTTGTATGTCCAAATTCTTAACCTTCTATGCTGCTGATAGCTCTCAAGGCCTTGTCATGTGGGACACTTAACATGCATTCAATTTAGAATACACTAAGTGTTTCTATGCCCTATTAAAAGTCTGAATGTATTCTGAGCAGTTGCTTACTATCATCTTAGCCTATTCTGGACAGGGCTGGAGCTGCTAAACAGGGCTTGTGCTTGTGCAGCTGGAGCTGCTTGTGCCTCCCTCCCCATGACACTGACCCTGGCACCAGGTGCAGTAGTTCACATGCCCACCTCTGAGGATATGCAACTCTCACACCTTGAGCCTGCGCCTACCCCGCTGCCTGCCCTGCACTGCCCAGGCTGGGAGCACCTGCCCCGGCATGATATGCCAGGGCAAGATGGGTCTGCTGCTGGCAGTAGGCAGAAGGTGACAAGGGGAGCTGAGCTGGGGAGAGGGTGCTGCTCCCAGTGATAAGCGCAGATCCAGAAGCAGATCCACAAGGCAAGCCAGGTTTCTGCTTCTGGCAGGCTTGAACCAGCCCTGGTATGGTGCCAGGGCTGGGACCAACGATCAGCTAAACTGGAATCAGAATCTGGAACTTGTATTACCTCCACAGAGCAGCTGAATGAGAGCTGAGCATAAGTTACTTAATACAAACTAGAGATACTCCTCCCATGAAAAATCGTGACTTTGCTACAATGTGAGTTAATTTAGCACATTTTACTGCTTGAACACACAGGTACTTGTGTTTTAAGTGCAGTTAACACTTCCTAAGCGTAACATGCAACATGGCCCTCAGTGATATAGAGACTTATCTGAGAGGCAACATGATTTTGTATCTACAGAAAAGAGCTGAAGCAAAGAAACTATTTCAATGAAAGTGGAGGGTACTTGGTACCTCATGTTATTGGACACAAGCACCATGCACTTCAGCTTATTCAACATGTAGCTTTCTTTGTGAGACAGTGGAATGCAGATATTCTGACTAGCATGGTCTATTTTATCTATTTATTTTGAAGAAGATGCTTTTCAAGCTCTGTACTCTACTCCCCACACTACATGACCCTACTGAGAACACATATGCTATGTGCTTTAAGTGCATTACAAACAATCATGCCAAGGCCAAAGCAACCCGAAAGGGCCTCCCTACAAGCAGACCAAAGGCAAATACGCTCCATTATCACCCATCTCAGACACTCTGAATGCTTGGCTAAGAAGCTCTCCCCACCCAAAACCCACCAAAAACCATGAAGACAGACCAGTTAAGCACATCTGGATATTGGTTTGTTTTAGAATTGCAGGTGATAGTTTTCAACCTCCTGTAAATGATGGCCATTGGACTCTCATTTTTTAATTAATCAAGTTTCACAACACCCATATGATGTCAGAAAATACTATTTCATTTTACCAATAGAGAAGTGAGGCACATGGACTCTAGCTGACTTATCCAAGGCACAAAACAGAAATTTGAACAACTCCTAACTACTGAACCAACCTTCTCTTGTGCCTAGGACCATGTACCTATTAAAAGCTAAGAAAGGGGCAACATTTAAAAGGGGCAGTGAAAGGGAGCTTAACTAAAGACAGCCATAAACCACCGCATTACCAGAACGTGCAATTTCAGCCTCTGAAAGAATAGCTTGAAGCCAGTAATCTACAGCTGGAGTCTCCCTATTATTATTAGTGACTTGTTCATGCATTTATTTCTGCCCTAGAAATCATGGATGAAATCCTAGCCCCACTGTAGTCAAGAGGATTTAATGACATGTAAAGAACTGACAATGCATTTTTTCTCATACAAAATTACAGCTTGAACTAGTGAACAGAATCGTAATATGTTTCTACCACTTCTGGAGACAAACTACCATATAAAAGGGCTGCTATGAGCCAGATGAGTTTTGGTAATGGTCTCGTAATTTTCTTTTGACTAAAGGGAAGGGTTTTCTCTTACTGGCCATCTGAAGGAGATGGTTCATTGAATAATGTGCGTTTGGCCTGATAAAACAAGTTCTGTACAGTAATCAATTATAAATTCTGGAAAAAAATGAAAACCTCATTACCTTTTCATGGTTTTCTATTAAAATTTCAATCACTATATTCTGGAATTTGATGTCCATAATTGCTGCAACTGTTTCTTCTTGAGGTCGTAGGAGTGTTGGTCCAAATACCACACCCAGATTAGCAACGGTCATTAGGTTCTGTTTGTGGTTATTAGCGACTCTGTAAGGAAAAAGTAACAGGTTTTAGAAATCATTAGGATACAAACCCCCATCCTGTTTCAAAGTCAGCACAAAGCCTGCTTACATTTTTAAAACTCCCAACAAGACCCTTCAAAGTTCAGCCACATGGAAAAGAGCTGATTTAACCAGCGTGTTACCAGTGTAATTTCAGCCTCAGTAACTTGACAGATACCGTGAAAACCAAATTGCCTCCACACTTCTCTGCCTCCTGAATCTCAAGTGGCTGAGAGTTGGAATCTGCAGGCTCCTCTCAGGAAAACATTTTGAATCACTCGTGTTTCAAATCTTTCCAAAGACAAATCACTGGAACTTTATATAGGCTAATTCTCTACCTCAATGACAGACCTCTAGGGCGCCTATACGGAAGCACGGAGGCTGCTCCGATGCACTGGAATTCCAGCGCATCGGGGCTGACCCAGTTAATCAAGTCTGCGGCAGCGTGGCAATTGCCGCAGCCTCCTGCATCTCGTGTATCAGCATCCTCACGCTTAAAAATGGTAGTGGGGGCACCTGATCTGAAGCTCATCGAACAAGCTTTAGTTCAAGCACCCCATTGCCATTTTTAAGCATGGGGATGCTGATACATGAGACGTGGCTGCGCCTTAATTAGAGCAGCTCTCAGAGCCACTAACTAAAGTGCTGCCCCCCAGCCCTCAGAGCATGTGTAAAAGTGCCACTACTATCCACATTTCAAGTCACTGTGGTTCATTTAGGCTCTTGCCTTCATCTAAGGTCAGTCCTGATCCAATCCAATCATAATGATTCGGAAAGTAAAGATTTTGCCATTAGCAACGGCCACTAATATAATTTCCGGTTAACTGAAATTTTCAAAGTAATTTAGTACTATTCAAACTTAGCCTCTTGCTGTTACCTACTGCTTCTGTCTCTCCTTGCTTATCAGCACCTCCAGTGTCCTGCAGCTGTCCCTGATGCTGGAAGCACCTCCTCAAAATTCAATGAAGACCAAAAACACTATGGGCTTAAATGCATTCCATGGAGAACTGCATTACTACTCTGGTGGCAACTTCTGCTACCCAAAACTTCAGTCGTTAAAGATAAAAATGCACGCAGAAAAAGGTAGCTGTAACTAATTATCATTTACCTAACAGCAATTATCCAATTCATAGCCAGATAAAATAGACAAATAAACAAATATATGTAAGGTTGCAGACATATGTAATATATATAAAACAAATAATATTTAATATACTGTATATAACAAAATGCAAAGCACACAATTTTTGAGTGCTCGATCTGTGATATTTAAAGAGATCTCATTTTCAATGAGCACATTTTATGGAGGGGGGAAAAAAAAATCCAGCCCTCTTAAGGCATCTCAAGTTTGAAACAAAATTGAAACACCTAAAAAAAAATCACCAGTCATTTCAGAAACCCTTCACATATGAACTAAGGCATAATGCACTATTTTAAATTATGCATTTAATTAGTTAAACCAATTAAAACATTATTTATGAAGATAATGTGAAAGGCAGTACATTCTCTCCCTCTTTCACTCACTCACACACACACACACACACACACACACACACACACACCCCCTCTTGAGTAATTCCCTAAAACTATCACAGAAAACCTAAACTTATGCACCAGGTAATTAAGTCCATAAAGCTACCAATTGTCTGACTGCTGGCACTGATGGTATCAGAATATAAAAACATATTTATACATAACAAAAGAAGATTATCAGCAAAAGTCACTCCGTGATGAGTTAGAAAGTGCCAGATGGAACACTAAAAGGACAGTAAATTGACTAAAGAGAGAGGCAATTCGTTACCTATATTTAGAGATGCTAATATAAACAGACAGCTAAATAAACATTTTAGGTACCAACATATGCCAGATGTGTCTATAATGACATATTTCTCTACACAGCTGAGATTGCATGGCCTGCTCTTTATCATGTGCACTGCTAAGGCATGGATCAAACCATTTAATCAGATATTCGGCTTAAATTCAGCCAGTGCTGGGTCACAGGTTGGACTTGCTCTGTATAAATTCTGTATGTGAAAATTCTTCCACCATATTATGCCACTGATTTATTTTGAGCTGCCTTCTCAAGAGTTTCCCGACCTGAAGGGTTCCGGCAAGTGACTCACTGGGCGCTGAACTAGCCTTCAAAGTCCCTTCCTCCCTCGTTCTGCCCTCATCCCAAGAAGATGCTAGCACTGAGGGATTCTGGACTGTGCAAGAAGAGCATGACTAGCACCAGTCTTCAGGTAGACAAGAAATCTCAACCATGCTGAGAGTTAATTTCTCTACCTTCCTAGAGCACCACACAGGATGAAAGTCTCTGACACCAACCACCTTCCACCAAGACCTTCCTAGACTTATAAAAGTCAAGATTTGGTTAAAAGGTTCAAAACACCCAAGTCCCATTGAAAGTCACTTTGGTGCCTCTGAAATATCTCACTCTTAAGTATCACTTCTCTCAGTGTCAGGAAGCACTGATTATTGCAGTTCTGCCCATTTGAGAAATCTCTTCAATCAATGAACTAGTGTTATGGGAGCCATCAAGGCCTCAAGCTGCACCAGGAAAGGCTTAAGTTACCAAGATAAGAAACTGCAATTGTAGCATGCTGTTTCCCTTAGTATGGAGCACTCGGCTGAAAGAAGGGCAAGCCCACATTGATTTAGCCCAGGGGCGGGCAATTATTTTGGCTGCAGGGCTGCTTACTGAGGTTTGGCAAGCTGTTGAAGGCCCCCTGGGTAGCCCTGCCCCTTGACGGGTGCCCTTCCCCCGGTCGCCATCTTCTGACTGGAAGTCCCACCCCCTAACCCTTGTCACCAGAAGTCCTTCCCCTTGCCCCCAGAAGTACTGCTTTCAGCAAAGGCTTTTACCATCTCAGAACCAGAAAAATACCAAATTGTATTTTAAAACCTGAACATCTAAAACATTCATTAATTTGATTTCAAAAAATATTTTTGTCCTGGTGTACATGTGTTTGCATAGTATACAAAGAGGTAATTGTATATAATAGCTTAAAATTAAGCCTTATTCTTGTATATTGTGGGAGGGGGGGCTTTGTGGGGGGGCTGTGGGTGTGTGGGGTAGGGGGCAGATTGGTGTAGGGCAGGGTTTCTCAACTGGTGGGATGCATCCCACTGGTGGGACATGAAGGTCCTCTAGGTGGGACTCAGGTCACGGTGGTGAAACCAGAAGTGCCATGGCAGGACTTCTGGTTTCACTTTTGCACGCTTCGATTGGCTGGTGCCCTCCCACTTGTCGACTGGTGGGATCAGGATTTTTTTTTTTTGAGTAGGTGGGGCCTAAGGTGCAAAAGGTTGAGAACCACTGGTGTAGGGGCTGTGGGTGTGAGAGGAGGAAGCATGTGGGTGTGTGTGTGTGGATATGTGGGATGTGGGTAGGTATAGGGTTTGTGGGGGGCTGTGAGAGAGAGAGAGGGTGGCTGGGGTGTAAGGGGGTGTGGGCGTGGGGCTCTGCGTGTATGGCGGCGAGGAGGGGTGTGGGTGCATGTGTATGGTGGGGTGTGTGTCACTCACCCTACAAACACACACACACACACACACACACACCCCTCATGGCACTGGGATAACAGCACGGCCCATGCTCCTGTGGTTTGGCAATGCAGCCAGGAGCCACATGGTGCTGGAGCAGTGCGGGGGCAGGAAGGTACGGAAATGGCTGGGGATGGGGCGAGGATGGGCTGCTGAGTCCTTCTGCCAGCTCCCCCTGGCTCCTATCATCTTTGACAGGCAGCCAGGAGCAGATAAATATTAATTTCCTAATTTTTTAGGGGCCCTGCAGGCCAGGTACAATAGCCTGGCATGCTGGATCCAGCTCACAGGCCATATTTTTCCTGCCCCTGGTTTAGCCAGTGGGGGAGTCTCTGTACACTGCAAGCGCTCTACAGACCAAAGCCAACACATGCAAGACTGACCAAGGAGATAATGCAACACAACCGCTCCAGATGAGGGTCTCATATTTTAACAGAAACAAAGTGGGGGGGGGCAGTTTTTACTGACCAAGAAGAGCAACTCTCCATCTGAAATCAAAGTAGACAAGAAAAGATCATTGCAATCTGACCATGGCAATGCTGAAGCTGGTAAGCAGATGCCTTTCATCCTCCATCTCTTTTCAGTTTCCTCCTCTCCCAACTGTAAGGATATCGTCCTCCAACAGCCCTCACTTCCTATTTCTTTCTACATTTAAAGGGTTACAGAAACCAGAAAGGTTCAAAAGTTTCACCCTCCTCCTCCTCAGTTCAGCCACATGACAGGAGTGGGACATAATGGTATACTTAGCAATGGACAGCAATTGTCATTGGCAATCCCTTGATTCAAGGATGATCTTTACTACAGCTCATTGATGGACTTGGTGACTTAAAAGTCCAATCCTTGAGCCACAGACCTGTCTGTAGAAGTTGCAGATCTTTCTGCAGGGGAGAGTAGGATATAGGCTAGAATTTCTCTTTTTCCTTCTTCTGCACTCTCTTCTCATCTTTGAAGGCAAGACACTTTACCACAAAACAGGCTGTCACTTGGTTGAGGTTGCAGCAACTTTGGAGTCAGTCAGCAGCCAACCCCTCCCAGGTCTTGATGTCAGCATCCATTTTCTTGACGTATGGCTTCAATGTGTCCTTGTAGCATTTCCTCTGACCACCATGAGCTCTCAGACCATTACTAAGCTGGGAGTAGAGCTTTTGTTTTGAGAGTCAAAACTCAGGCATTTGCATACAATGTCCGGTCCAGCAAGACTGACGATTGAAGATCACCAACTCAATGCTGCTAACAGTGGCTTCAGCAAGGATGCTGTTGTTTGTGCAGCAATCTTCCCATTTGATATGGAGGATTTTCTGAAGGCATCAATCTCTCCAGGCTCTTGAGATGGCAGTAGGTCGCCTATGTTCCATATCCACAGAGGAGAATGGGGATGACGACTGTGTTGTAGACCCGATTTTGGTGTCTTTCTGGTGATTGTGATGAATAAAGATTTGGCGA